CCCTCATACATACACTGCCCCCATACACACACACCGCCCCCATACACACATTGCCCTACACATACACTGCCCCCCATACACACACATTGCCCCACACTCACACATGCACTGCAATCCTCACACACCCACACACTGCAAATGTAACACACAAATACTGACCCACACATACACTGCCCCCTAACACACACACACACTGCACCCCTGACATATACTGCAGCCCTCACTCACACACTGCAACCTTCACACACACACACTGCTCACATACTGTCCCCCTCACAAACACACTGTACCCCTTATATATTGCACCACTCACACACACCACTGCTCCTATGCCCTACTACAGCCCCATTTCCCAGCAGATCTCAGGTAAGTTGTCAAACTGTACTGAGCTGTAGTGGTTATTGTGTCTGGATTATTTCTTTAAATAATCTACAAGTGCCCCTCCCGAGATCAGGCTCTGGATCTGCCACTGATTTGCATGTGTGTCAGTGTTTATATTTCACTTTGTTTATATATATATATGTCAGTGTGTGTGTCTGTATCTGCCCTGTATATACTGTAATATATATATATATATATATATATATATATATATATATATATATATATGTGTCAGTGTGTGTGTCTGTATCTGTATATCACGTTTGGTCAAATGTCCCACCTGTGCACTTCCGGGTTCGGACGGGTGTGGGATCGTCGCTCACACACTATTGGTAAGTAATTACCTCACATTTCATATATATTCACGCTATGTAAACTGTTATGTTGATCTTGGAAAAGACCCTTGTATGGGTCGATACGTTGATCGGGACTAACGTACGTACATTGAAACAAAACAATAATTTGAAGAAAGAAAGACCTATGAGTGCACCTATTTTCTATTTTGATTATATATCACGCAAAGGGAGCACCGAGGCGAATATATTCATATCTACATCTGTATGTGTGTCAGTGTTTGTATCTGTGTGTTTATGTATCTGCATGTGTAACTGCATCTGTCACAATTTTCACATTTTGTTCACCTCGCTAGTTTTTGGTTTGTTTGCACGATAAGCTACTCTAGGACTCCTTTAACTGGTAATTAATATTTACTTTAAACTCTAATCTATGACATCTCAAGTAACTATACACTTGGTTGTGAATAATACTTCATATTTTCCTCCATACATGTTACTATTTCTTATATTATCTTCACTTTCAGAACTTCACTTCAGATACAACACCGGGGTATCACTATCAGTTTGTATATACAGGCTGCATAGCAACATAGATGCCTTCCGAGAGTCATCACGTTTGGTCACATGTCCCGCCTGTGCTCTTCCGGGTTCGGACGGGTGTGGGATCGTCACTCACACACTATTGGTAAGTAATTACCTCACATTTCATATATATTCACGCTATGTACACTGTTATGTTGATCTTGAAAAAGACCCTTGTATGGGTCGAAACGTTGATCCGGACTAACGTATGTAAATTGAAATAAACAATAATTTGAAGAAAGAAAGACCTATGAGTGCACCTATTTCCTATTTTGAATATATATATATATATATATACATATATATATATACACATCTAATAGGGTATGTTCATGGGGAAAATATTCAGTATGGTTCGGCATTCCAAAATTTGGGACTTCGACACTTTGAAGAAAGAAAGACCTATGAGTGCACCTATTTCCTATTTTGATAATATATATATATATATATATATATATATATACATACATCTACTAGGGTATGTTCATGGGGAAAATATTCAGTTTGGTTCGGCATTCCGAAATTTGGGACTTCGACATTCCGAAATTTGGGACTTCGTCACTTCGGAACTTCGACACTTCAGAACTTCGGATGTTCTCTTGCAGCCGCTTAGTAGATAACTCCCTAATTCCAACAGTATTAGGGAGCTATCTGCCAAAAGGCTAAAAGACCTAAATTGGTCTTTCAGTCAAATTTACTAATACTAAGTAAAGATTACATAGTATTAGTAAATCCTGACCCTACTTGCTAATTTGCGAGTAGGGGCATGTCTAGTAAACAGTGAGCAGAAGTATCCGGATGTCCAAATTCATCTGAATTGACATTCGGAACGAAATGAATTGCACATGTCTAATATATGCCTGGGGAGGAGGAGGAGCAGGGGGACCCTGGAGAAGAAGAGGGAACCTGTGTCAGAGGAGAGGCAGGGTGAGCCTGTGGGAGCGAAAAGCAAGGAGAGCTTGGGGAAGAGGAGAAGCAGGGAGTGCGTAGGGCAGAGAATAATTGGACATGGGATCGAAAAAATTTTATAAATTTGAAATAACTGCAACTATATCAATTACAAACGTTTTGTTAATATAAAGGGTACAGGGATGGAACAGAAATTTAGCCCGGGCAAATAAAGGCAGAACAGCAAACTATGAGGGGCGGAGCCAAAAAGGAGGTGTGTTTATGTTAGTGTGATGACCCTCCAGAGCATCCAGTGATCTGGGGTGGAGTAAATGTCCTGGATTTTTATTTTGTTCACGGTAAACATGTGCTGCATTTGCTAGTGATTTGTCTCTGGTGTACTCCATACTGGGATACCAGAGAACAGCTGTGGAACAGGACTGTTAAAGTGTGTTGTGTGTATGCGTGGATGCTCCCTGTGGTGTTGTATGTGTTTGGAGATTGCTTGTGCGATTGCATGTGTCTATAGGAGACTATTTGTGTTGTAGTTTGTGTGTAAAGGGGTCTGTTTGTGGCAACTATGTGTGGCTAGGGGCTATAGTGTGTGTTCCTGGGCTGAAAAGTGTGTGCGTTATAGGGCCTGTAGAGTGTGTAGGACTAGGGGTGTTGTGTATGCGCATGTGAGGACTGTACTGTGTGTAGCTAGGGGAAGCAGGGGGTTGCATTGTGTGTATCTTGGAGCTTTAGTGTGTGTATGCGTATAGGGGTTGCAGTGCAGATGTGTGTATAGTTGCGGCAATGAATGTATGTATAAGGGATGTAGTGTGTGTATAGGGTATAGTATGTGCATAGGTGGTGTAGTGTATGTGTATAGGGGGTGCAGAGTGTGCATAGGGCTATAGTGTATTTATAGGAAAGTAGAGTACTGTGTGCATAGGGTGTGTGGTGTGTGTACAAGGGGTAAAGCATGTGTGAGTGCAAGGAGTGTATGTTTAGGTGGTATAGAGTTTGTGTACTGTGTGTATATAAGGGGGTGTAATGTATGTATATAAGGGGGTGTAGTGTGTGCAGATAAGGGGATGTAGTGTGTGTAACTGCAGGTGATAGGATAGTGGCTTCTTTAATTAATTTAACAATAAAATATAAAATTAATTTATAAATATATCACATTTCTTTCCCCTCCCACTTATTACCTTGCAGGGGGGGAGCGAGCACGTTGATCCCTGGTGGTCCAGTGAGAGCAAGGGCAAGCTGACACACAGCAAGATGATCCCTGGTGGTCCCGTGGTCCGGTTATTTGGTCTGTACCACCGCAGGGTACAGACCATGTCTCTGACTCTAGTGAGTGCCGGTATTACAGAGCATTGCAGCGGGTCACTAAGGCACAGGCTGCCCAACTTCGTGTCTGGATGAATTCTTCCACTCCAGCCTGGGAATCTCTCCTCCGGCCTATGAAGGGACCGTCGGTGCTTCCCTGCATGGGCCAGCAGGAGAAATCCCTTGATCTATCCTGCCGGCCTGACATTTATAAGGTTCTGTGGGAAGTGTTATAGGTGCAATCTGGTGCTGTGCATGTGACCTAGTGTTGTGGCAATAGCTTTGTGTGCAGTCTGGTACTATCAGTGCAATCTGGTGCTGGGAAGTGAAAAGTGCTATAGCTGGACTCTGTGCATGCCACCTATTGTAGTACTAAACACAAATCTTTGGGAGTTTATATAAGAGGAATCACTAGTACTAGGCCGATATTCAGTTCATGTGATCTCTCCATTGAATTTAAAGGTACACCCCACTGCACAGTGATCTGCCCATCTCCCATTATTTATTATATTGTGTCCCAACCAATACCAATTAGTAGAGATATGGGAGACACTATGTCCTCAGTTTCTAAAAAAAAATGTTTATTTATTTATTTTATTTTATTTATTATTATTTTGTACTTGTATTATAATTTTATAGATTTTTTTCACTAATATATAAGCCCAACCATAGACAGATCACTGTCCACCCCAAATCTGGACACATGGGGGGTTGTATTTTACTATCAACTAGGCAACAATGGCAGGCCAGTCACCAGTATTTTATTACTAGCTGCAGGCTGCTAACTGTTTAGCAGACACTTGTTTTTCTCTTTGTTGTAGCAGGCTAGTAAGCGCTGGCCAGCTGACACATTGTTATCACTCACACTGCCGAGCGTCATTAACTATTTGTCAACGGACCATAGAGATAGCCGTTAACCAAAATTTTACAAATCAACAAAAGAAAATCACAAATTATTGTTTAAACCACATCTTTATATGTCAGAATTTTGGTCCTATTGAAAAAAAAAATTCATAATAAAACATTTTTTACGAAAAGAACCCCAACATTTTTTTCGTAGACATCTCTAGTTTAAACATACAAAACCATAAAATAGTTGTTTTAGCAGAGAATCTGTAATCAGGACTGTGAGAGATAAACTGATGGAGATTCAGTAAGCATCACTGTAAAGTTGTACAATTGTTGGTATGTAAGCAGGAATGGTACCAACAAAGGCACAATGTGGTGCTGTGAAAGAGCTGTGACACTGAAGTCGAAGAATGTACTGTTAATGCTCTAAAATATTTGTTATTAAATAGTTGTTGCCTAATATCTGAAGTAAACAGTATAGTGAGTTATAAAACAAAATGTGAACATCCTGGTACTCTATGCTACTTGACACAGAAACAACACAATTTACAAATGTAAAATCATGGACATGAACGTACAATTTGATCCATGCATCCATCGAGATCGTTAGTGGCAAATTAAACATACTGTGAAAAGGTGACCCTCCTGTGCTTCGGGGCAGACAAGACATAAACATGAGTCTGTAATGAAATCTGAAGGGATATAACACCATTTTCTCATTTAAAAAAAATCATGCTATTAAAGAATGTGGTTTATCACAAATGAAACATTTTCTTTATTTCGACAGAGTAATAGACGATGCTGGACAAGTTTAGCAATGACATTACAACTTTTAGTTTTTGTCATTTTAATGCAGGTTTTAACAAAGTATGTTTTCTTCATGCAAAGTCACTTTCTCAGCTTCCTTTCAGCACCGTAACATGCATTAACCATCTCAGCCAAAATAAATGTTACCTCATATTACAGAAGAAGAGACAATCCAGGTCACAAGACATTAAACAAGTAAAGTAAGCATATTTTTTTTAATGTATTTAATATATATATATATATAAATATTTATTATTTTTATGGAAACCTATACTCAGAAAACACATCTATACACTAATCAGGAGTTTAAAATCAGGGAATGATACCTTGTGTCATTTATATCATTATATGCATTTGTCACTTCCTCATATTGCAGCTGCAGAGGTTAACGAAGCCAGAGGACAGCAGTGTCTGGTGCTGCAGGACCAGCGTTGAGGTTAAACTGTTGGAAAATGGTTTGAACCCTGAAGGTGAGATGAAAATCACTCCTTCCCCATAACTTAAGTAAACTGAAATTCCTATGAGATGGGTTTGTTCATTTAAAGGGACACTTCACTGCCCAGATAAAATCATTGTTTAATAATTACTCCCAATAAAAACATACTGTTAATAATGTATTTTTTCATTGGGGGAGGGGTTTAGCTGAAAAAAAAAAACGTGCAAAAGTTCCAGATTTCTTATATGAAGCTTTTACAAGCCCTCCCTTTCTAAGCTCGTCCAGACGTTCTGTGGTTGTCAAATCACAGACTTCCCAATGCAGCTCAAGTGAAGTCTTTGCAGGGCAGATGCTCTGAGCAATCACTTTGAGTTTAGCTCCGCTGAGATAAACAAACCAGGAAATAACAGGACCTGTTGTCTGACTGACAGTAAGGGATGTGTCACAATGTTTATTTATAAAAGTGCCAATTTCTATTGAAATCTATACTTTTAGTAATGATAAAAAAAAAAAATTTAAAAAAAGGACACACTCTTCACGTGGGTTCTGGAGTGTATCTTTAAGTACTTAATTAATTCATGGTGCAAGTCAAGTAAGACAAGCTATGGGGCAAACTGTTATCATAGGCTTTTATTAGTAATATTTTTTTCGATTCCTGGTAATCAAAGAATAGCCAAGGTCGTAACCACAATCCTAGGCTTGTAATTTTGAACCACGCCTGTTACTGCATGTTTTTTGCTTTTGTTGCCATTTATAACACAATCTCAATATGCTGAGAGCACAAGGTTATGACAAACAAAATTGATTTTTATTGGAAATATGTGAGCTGCAGGTTTTTCCCCCCATTTTGTAATGCAGTAGTAATGATAAAAGGTGACACGTGACATTCCTGAAAAGGCCAGAGTCTAATTTTGGCACCATACCATTGCTAACCCCGAGTCTCACCGAATACTGAGAGAGAAATGACACTTCTAATAACATATTTGTGACAGCGCCATTTTAACGCTCCATATTTGGATTTAATTACACCGCACAGTGTTGAAGTGAGTGCATGGTTTTAATGTAGTGGATGAATGGTTAAAGGACCACTATAGTGCCAGGAAAACAAACGCATTTTCCTGGCACTATAGTATTAATAGGTCCCTCCCACCATAATGGCACCCCTCCGGCCGGGCTCTAGATTGAGGAAGTGGTTAAATCGGCGCTGGGGACTCTCCTCCTCTTTCGGTCATCGGCTGAATGCGCATGCGCAGCAAGAGCCGCACGCGCAGTCAGTCAGTCCATAGGAAAGCATTCTCAATGCTTTCCTATGGACGCTGGCATCTTCTCACTGTGAAAATCACAGTGAGAAGCGCCTCTAGTGGATGTCAATGAGACAGCCACTAGAGGCTGGATTAACCTATATGTTAACCCTAGCTGGACCTGGCACCCAGACCACTTCATTAAGCTGCAGTGGTCTGGGTGCCTATAGTGGTCCTTTAATACAATATGGTTTAGGGTTAATACAGTAGCCGTGGTGTATATAAATATAGTAACGTGGGAAATATACTCTGAATTCAAAGATTTGGTGTCATAATGTGATAAACACATAAGGGTTTAACCCCTTAAGGACACATGACATGTGTGACGTCATGATTCCCTTTTATTCCAGAAGTTTGGTCCCTAAGGGGTTAAGGCTGAACTTATGAGAAGTTTGAACTGTGGGAAGAACCATAAAATGTACGCTTTGCCACCTATTAACGCTGCTTCTTTGAGCATATTCAAAGTGGACAGTGGGGTAGGGGACATGGAGATTTGTTTTGTAATCTGTTTACAAAGCTTAATAAGTGTAACTTTATTGTAGTTTATTTGCTTTAATTAATAACACCGGAAGCGTTTTGTGTTCATCAAGTACGGCTAAGTGTGTTTCATACGCAAACACTGTTCATATGTATTTTTCTTTTTTTGAAGTTCATGATTATGTTTGAGGTTTTTATTAATTAGTTGAAAAAAAAATGCCAGTGGTGTAAGTCATAGTTTGACTGCTTAACATTAAAAACACCAAAAGTGAAAAAGCAATGGAAAGATAGGATTAAGATATGATTCAGATATTCTGATAATGTCATCATTAATGGCAGTCACTGATATGTAGACAACTAACAAACAGCAAGTTGTGACTGAGACTAAATTGAAAATATGTTGTGAGCATAGGATATGAAAATAAATGATGAAAAAGATGCAATTGTCTTCCAAAAAAAAAAAATCAAGACACATTAATCATCTACTCTGTTTCTTTAGCCCACACAAACACCAGCTAGCATATTTATGACCCTACAGTCACAGCATCAAACTTAAAGGCAGAAAATGAGCTACATTTGCTTGTTATTCATACATTAAAAATATAATTTGGATCTTTCAACACTTTTTTTGTACATAAACCCAAAATACTGTATCCAAAGTACATGCACCATCTATCCAAATAACAATGTTTAAAGTTAAACACTTCATGACTTCGTAGGGCTGTCACAAAATATATGTATTTATTTTTCATCTGATTATTATAACACTCCCAGAATGCCATACAGTATAATTCCTTCAAGAAAATTCACTTTTTATATTCCATCTCTTATCGACTTTCCATAGAATTCTCCATTGGTGTATAAACAACCTTTGGTCCGAAGCTTGGATATGAGCCTTTATGGACCCTTTCAGTGCAAACAAGATTTCTGTACATGGTATTTTTTCAGTGCTCAGTACAAGAGTAGGTACATGGACTAATGATGACATGGAGCTAGAGGTGTAATAATTACTTTTACAAACATGTTCCAAAAAATATATGACATACTTGTTCATTTAATTACTAATAGGAACATTACCTTCGCACCACTGATAACAGCCAAGTGTATGATCGGCTTAAAATAAGATTTCACACAAAAACATACCATTGATCACTAGCTATTCTACGCTCTTCTATTTCCCTTTGTTCTTTTATTGGGAAAAAGGACATTTAGAACAAAAGCAGATAATTCCTTACTAAGTGGGTTAACATTTGTTCCCAATGCATATATTGTTTTATGAACATATTTTTGTAGTATAAACTGTATTTCATGTTCCATCAGCAGCAAGCTTGATATGTCTGCTAGAAATAAATTGAAGGTTAATTTAATCTCCTATTTAGTTTTTTCGACTTTTCATCTTTTAAACATGTTATTTCACATGATGTACATGCTGTGTGCTGCGTTCAGTGCATGTGGATTTTGTCTTCAGCTTGCCATCCACAATATGAAGGTAATAAGCAGACTTGGGAGGGTAGTGAATGGCTCCAAACCCATACAGAGTATTAGCACAAGTCCTGAAACTCCCGAAACAAACACACTTCTCTGATCTTGGATAATCCTCTTCACGGTCTTACAAAACTAGAAAACAAAGCAAATGTTTGTGAGCGTTCTTATAGTATAATCTTGTAAAACAGTCAGAAAAAAAATCAGCGATTAGATCCCTTTCCCACAGTCATTAAACCCTTTCCGACACAATGAATGGCACTATAGGAGGTTACACAAAATATACTGCAAATTAGCCTATCACTATAAGACTACATACATAACATTTGAGGATATGTACTACAGTGTGTGAGCTGGAGAATGCACTAATCACCTAACCATATACGGACATGAGTGCAATTGTGGTATGAGGAATATGGTCTTAATCATGCTACAATGGGGATTATTTAGTAAACACCAAATTGTATGGAGTTGAAATTAAAACTGCAAAATTTAGACCAAAATAGCTGCTTGGGAAAAAAAAGTTGTTTTTTTTATTCCAATCTCAGCTATAAAATGAATGGTTTCCTATTAGTTTTTCAATAAAAATATGATCTATTTAAAATGTTATATAATGACAAGTGCATTAGACATGGAATATATATTATATTTATATATATATTTATATTATATTCCCAGCCATAGTTATATCAAACAAGGAGAAGTGCTCTCTCTGGAATTTTTAAAGCAATCTTTTCACTGCTTTATTCACTCCAAAAGCAGACAATCACATCCTATCAATGTTACAGTCTCAACAGAGTCTTGAGAAAAGTCTCCTTTTGAGACTGAAACATTGATACGCTGTGAATGTCTGCTTTTGGAGTTAATAAAGTAGTGAAAAGTTATAATTAAAAAAATCCCAATTGTGTCTTCTTGTATGAAATATTTGTATATATGTACACATACAACGCAGATATTACTATCATAATAAAATAACAAATATCTCAATAAGACCTGCAAAATTAGACCAAAACGAGGGCTAAATGATCATGAAAACCAGACCAGATAAGAACTTCAATAATCCAAAAGAAAAGGGGAAAAAAGCCTGTTGACGGATAGCATGAGCTGACACCCTTCTCACTCCTATTATTAGAGCCGATTGACTGCAACGGGTACGGTTGGAGCTATGGCCCCAGTTGGCACTTTAAGGAGGGTGGCAATTTGCCGCCCTAGCAACATCAGGACTTTTTATTTTTTTACACAGGTATTGTGCGGATCCTTAAAGGAACACTCTAGGCACCCAGACCACTTCAGCTTAATGAAGTGGTCTGGGTGCCAGGTCCAGCTAGGGTTAACCCATTCTTTTATAAACAGCTCTTGCCGCGCGTGCGCATTCAGGCGACGGGGAGGAACGGAGGAGGATAGCTCCCCGCCCAGCGCCGGAAAAAGGTACGTTTTATCCCTTTTCCTCTCCCCAGAGCCGGGCGGGAGGGGGACCCTGAGGATGGGGGCACCCTCAGGGCACTATAGTGCCAGGAAAAAGAGTATGTTTTCCTGGCACTATAGTGGTACTTTAAGGGAACCACACAAACACTAAATTAGCAGGGGAGTGACTCCCCCCTCGTGCTCTGTGTAGTGTCACGTGATACTCAATGTAAGCCTTCAGGCAGCACGCTGGACATCGAGAGCAACCCTCTCCTGCCATGACAGGTTTAACAGCAGGGAGGGGGCACCAGTCTGTTTGAGCAGAGCCAGCATAACCTTCGGCCTGGGCACCGGCTTTGTGAGGGTGGCAGCTGCCTGCTCTTCAGGAAGGAGGAAGAAATGGGAAAGACACATGGAAGGAAGTGGGGGAGTGAAACAGAGAAGGAAGGAAGAGGAAGAGACATGGATGGCGCGAGCGAAATGGATTGAAGATAGACATTTAAAGAATATAACCAAGAATGTAAAACAAAATAGCTATACAGGAATAAGTGTGCATTTAGCATCAATGTCTTTGGATTTTGTCCCAAAAGGACTTTATCAAGGCATGTGCATAAATTAAACAAGTAGATCTATATATAGCAACGCATTCAGTCTATCCTAATGAATAGAACTCCGCCTGTTGCTATGTTTCTAATTAAAGGCAAACTGAAACTAAAAAAAGTCTTACTTATCTCTACACTAAACAGAAAACAGTTAAATAAAATAATTTAAAAATTAAAAATAGTGGCTCCTACTAAGATTAATAGATAAATGCTCTGAACAGCATTAAACTACAAAAACATATTTTTTTTTAAATATCTTCAATATAAGTCAATCACAGGTTTATAAAAGATCAATCATTTCATTAAATTCCCCCAGAGATAAAATGCATAATAAATAAATCTGTTGAGATTAACAAATACTTACTATGGATCTCAGTACTGATCCATCTCTGACTGTATGTGGACTGTATTACATATTGAGTATATAAGGTTAAGTGAACAGATTCCACAGGTCGTAAAACGGTGGCTACAGAGTTAAAGGGTGGAGTAAAATTCTGGGTGAGGAGACTGGTGTTCCACCATTTTGAAACTTCATTAACTGCAACTGGCCATACCAATTTTACTGATTTGAATCACTCTGCTGCTAGAGGTGAAACTCACCATCTGGCTACTTCACTGGGATGTCATAAGAGAGCATGGAACAAGACTCCCGCGTGGCTAGTGTGAATCCTGTGCACATTTGGTGTGTGATGCCAGTGAGCACAGCATGCTGGCACATAACCAATCGTGGTGACCCCCTTATTTGTGCTGCCTTTGTCCTCCCTTCAGCTTGCCTTTCTTAAATCAACCTCAGTGACAAAGAAAACTGCCTTTTGTCAAGATTTGTCAGGTAGAGGAAAAAATACATAAGACAGTAGTCCTTATTTTGTGTTATGTATTAAAAAAAAAAAAAAGGAACGTACGTAATGAGAGACAGGAAGAAAAGAAGAATCGATTGTACGTTAAGTATGCTGCAATAGAGCCACTTTAAAAATAAAGTTTTGTTTAAAATGTTCTAGTCTCTAAAATTTCTAACATTTTCTAGTCTCACTAGGTATAATAAAATAGCACTGTATTTTCAAACAAATTTCTTATTGTTAGTTTCAGTATGGAAATATGCAGTTCAAGAAATGTTTTTGGTAAGGAGATAATCGTTGATAGGTACTTCACATTGTTCCAAATCAGACTTGCTTTTTACATTATCTCTTCTTTAGTACAACTATTTTATACAATTCTAAGATATTTGGTATTTTAATTAAGTTAGAACAGAGTGATTTCCTTGTATCCTGGTAATATTCAAGCAGAGATTTTCTATAAGAAAACTTGGTCTGCTTTGTGGTTAAATTTAGTCAAATTGGCTAAGTTATATTTTAAGTCGTAGATTAGCTCCATGTCCTTGCTGGGAGTTTTGTTCACGGTTTGACTGCATGTAATGCACAGTACCATGTTTTGCAAAAAGAATTATGAAAATAATGAGTACAATACGGATGCATAGCTTTTATTGATACTAATCACACAATTTTTTTTTCTGTAGTGTTTGTGTTTTATATTTTAACCCCTTAAGGACACATGACATGTGTGACATGTCATGATTCCCTTGTATTCGAGAAGTTTGGTCCTTAAGGGGTTAAATGCTAGTAAGTGAAAATGATCATAATTACATAAAATAAATGTAAAAGCAATATCATGAATACATTTAAAAAAGTGTTCTTAAAGTTTGTGCTGATGCTAAATCATGATCGGATTTGTAGATGCGATGTATACACTGTTGCCTAAAATGGAGAGGACTTTAATTATCTTCACTGGAAAAATCTTATTATTCAAAGAAACATGCAAAGTAGCACTATTTTGTAATGACTCATTGGCACAAATGTCATAAACAAAGCTTCCTTATTTCAGAGATTTTGAGTAATCGGAAGCTGGCAAGATTACTTCTTTGAATGTAGCACTTTATTAATGTTTTGAAGAATATATTTGGGGGGAAT